CTGTTGCTATTTATAACAAGGTTCATAAATCAGAAAATCCTTACATTTCCTAAAATATCTTAGCTGGCATTTTTTCCATCAGAAAGGATATTTTGCCTCGATTTTCAAGTTAAAACAAGCTATGTCACAACTGAAAGCATAATTCCTAATGCTACTGAAATAATATTATCTAAATATCAAGATCACATGTATATAGACTCATGTAGATCTTTTAGTGCATATCAAAGACAACTTCACCAATGTTTCTTTTTCAAATCTAAGTAAATAATAGTATTGGATAATATGTATTAATTAGAGTTCCAGGTACTGTGATGAATAATCATGAAAATAAAAAGTTGGTACTAGTATTATTTCCATGAGGCAACTAAAAGAAAAATTAAAGAATGTTTTCAGGCCAGGCATAGTGGTTCATGCCTATAACCCCAGCACACTGAGAGGCCGAGGTAGGAGGATCACTTGAGCCCAGGAGTTCAAGACCAGCCTGAGCAACGTAGCAAGACCTTGTCTCTATACAAATTCAAAAAATTAGCTGGGTGTACTGGCACACTCCTGTAGTACCAGCTACTCAAGAAGCTGAGGAGGAAGGGTCACCTGAGCATAGGAGGTCAAGGCTGTAGTCACTGCACTTCAGCCTGGGTGACACAGTAAGACCCTGAAGATAAAATAATAATAATACACACACATACACACACACACATATATATATAAAACATAAGTATAGTATGTAATAAAATATAAATTTTATATATGTGTGTGTGTGTATGTATGTACATTGTGTGTGTGTGTGTGTGTGTGTGTGTGTGTGTGTGTGTATCACCAAGCAGCTCAAGTTGTAAACTTGGGATTCAAGTCCAGATCATTCTCACCCTAAAAAGAAACTCTTACCATTTGTACATACCACCTTGTCTCTCCTATTGATAAGAATAAAAGCATTATTTGAACTTTTTAGAGAAAACCACTTTTGGGGGGAAAACTTTCAATTTAGCTCTTCCTATACACTGAGCCTAAATGATAATCAATCAATTGAAATATTCATGTGCCATCCACTTCAATTTGGGTAGAAAAAAAGTTGTTTTTAAATGTCCCTCTTGGCTTCCGTTTTTACTATAATAAACAACTTCTCTTCCTTTTTCATTCTCTTCACCTTTCTTTCCAAACCAGTTGCTGCATAACTGTTAAGCTCCTAAGGTGCATGGCCTGTCCCTGGTCTCCAATAAAGCTGTACTATTTGATGAGCCGCGTAAACCCTATAATAGAAATTGGAAATTTTTCAGGGGGTAAAAATGACGGGTAAATGATTTCATCATGTTTTGTTTAATTGCATACCAACTAAAGAATGTTGTTTGTGTGACTCACTTTGTTCAAAGTACCATACGTAGAATTCTTTGATATTTAAACATGCTTAAACTAAGGTGGTACACTGTATTTTGTTCACTCTGTGTGCTTACAAGAATGTTTCCAACGTTTAACATGAAAGGAGACAATAGACTGTATTTCAACATGCCAGGTAGGACCTAAAACAGCTAGGCATTTGTAGCTTGCAGGCAAAATATCAATTACATTATCCTGTCGTGGAAGAGCATTGCTCAGAAAGAAATTGAGAAGAATCAGAGTTTAACCTACTAACCATGTATATAAACACGATTCTCTAAGTTAATATGCTCATGGCATTGATCAGCAGGCAACTGCAAGAGGAGAGGGGCTAGCTGCTTATTTCAAATTGGATTTTTATTAATTATATTGACAGGATATGTGGTTTTTAAGTAAATATGCATTTCTCTGAACTCAGTGAAAGCATTTATTATATGAATTTTATGCTTCTAACAAGAATTATAGAATGTTTAACACCAGAAGAACTCTGAAAGATTAAGTCAAACCCCTTCATATCATTAATGTTAGTTTATAAAGGGTTGTAATTAAAATCAGTGGACTCCAAAGCATTGACTGCAGCGATAATAACCATATGCCACCAACATGAAAAGGAAATGACTGTGCCTGGGTTTCACTGAACATCTGCATGTAATTAGGAAACGTAAGCCAATTGGAATTAGGGTACCTGGCTTAGACATTGTGTCCATGACAACAAAACACAAGCTCTGAGTTGCAGCTATTGACGAATTAAGTTTTCTATTAATAGTTCCGATTGCATCCAGTGAGCTTTTCAAAATGTGAGTAACTGTTGCTTATTCACATCTACTATTAAAATACAATGAATCATAATGCCGTTTTGAGTCTTTTATTGTAAATTAACATTGGAGGCAGGTTGAGAAACAGAGGGCCTTATTTCTTTTTCATCAAGTTGAATGTCAGTGTCTTGTCTTGAAAAGAAATTTGCAGCAAAAAAAAAAAAAAAACACCTCAAAGATTGATTTCAAATAATAAGAGAAACTTTACAGAACTGAAGTCATGCATGGATAAATTTGATGTGGAAATTAGCCACATACAAATGAATCATCACAGAACGCCTTTTTCTGTCTTAGTTCCTAGTTCCTCAAAGTGGAAATTTTCTCCAAAATATTCCCCAGTTGTTTTTTTAAAAAATTCTTGCTGAGAAAATTAAAGCTTTTGAAAAATCTGAATGTTTTCTAAAAATAAAAGCATGAATGGACTGTGAAACAATACTACCAAAGCTTCAAAGATTATTTTACATAGTGGCCTGTATTCCATCTTACACATATGCCTTAAAGGGTCTTCCAGAGATGTCTGCTAGAGATCCAACTGCTCCTGTGACTGCTCACATCTGGAGGTTCTGAGCATACTCTTTTTAGATGATGCTTTAGGGCGGAACAGAAAGGGTCCTCGATGCTCAATCTTTCCAAAGAAACTCATAATCCTAGGCATGATGTCCTCAAAGAAGAGAGTTTAAAATCCTAAATTTAAAGCACAAACTTAGTCCAGTGTAATAAACAGATTGCTTGGTCTGGATATATTGCTCACAATGCTACTTAAATGTGAGTCGTCAGAGATACATATGAAGGGCGTGTGTATGTGTATATGTGTGTACACATTTTTAAAACACAGATGGCATTGCTGGATGCAGTGGCTCATGCCTATAATCCCAGCACTTTGGGAGGCCAGGGTGAGAGAATTGCCTGAGCCCACGGGTTCGAGATCAGCCTGGGCAACTAGGTGAGCCTCATCTCTACAATAAATCAAAAAATTAGCTGGGCATGGTGGTATGTACCTGTAGTTCCAGCTACTTAGAAGACTGAGGTAAAAGGACCACCTGAGCCCAGCAGGTCAAGGTTGCAGTGGCTGTGAGCATTCCACTGCCCTCCAGTCTGGGTGACAGAGTGCTAACTCAAAAAAAAAAAAAAACAGATGATACTAAGAGAAGCCATAACCATGATGACAAGATATCAACAAATTATCTTGCTTCCACTATTGATTTGACTATGCACTGGTGGTCCCAATATTCACAACTCTGAGATCCGTTACCAAGGCAATATTTGGAAATCTGAATCCTGTCTTTTTACATATGCAATTATACCGTTCCCTTCTTATGTGGCTTACTTACGCCACAGAACAGAAGACATATTTAGAACAAACACTATGCAACAGTGGTGTTTCAGACAGGGTGTCGATATGTCACGGTTTATTACATGTAGTGATAACTATGATTACCAATAAAAACTTGTGTTAATGAATGATTTCATTGCTGTACGTATAAATGAAGGAGCATTCACAATTGTCACTCTAATAGTATTATTTATCTCCAGTTGCATTCTGTGTGATTTCTTGACTGAGAGGCAAAAGGGTATCCAGCTCCATGTGTCTGAGGGCATCCATGAGGGTGACTCCAAATGCAAATAATCTTTAGTATGTATGTAACTACAAAAGAAAAAAGGTTGGGAGCTACCGCTGTGGAATCCTGCAATGGGAGTGGCTGCATGTTTCTGACCCAGAGAAAAGTTCATGGAGAAAAGTGCCCAAGGATACTGAAATGTAGACCCTGGCAAGTCAGCGACGTTTATTTCGATGGAGCCAATTATATGTTCACAGGCTTTTGCTCTGCCACCTCTCTTGCCCGAGGAGAATTTTTTTCCTCCCTTTCTAATAGTATATAAATTCCGCTTCAGTTTTTCTGGTATATAAAATGCTGTGTGAATACCTATGAGTAATTAATAGCCTTTCATTCAAGTAGGTAATATATGGGAGTGAATTTATTGTTTATGAGTATATCAATATCATTTTAAAACTATATTCTGGGATAGAATGGCAACGCTGAAGTGTAAAATTGCTAATGCAGGCTCATAGCCTGGAAAATGATTTCTTTTAATAGTTTTCTTCATTTAACAGTTCTTCATTCAAAAATGTTCCCTTTCAGCTGCAGATTTTGTGGTTTGGTGCAGTGAAGGGGAAATTTATTCCTTTGACACATTTATTCTTTTAATAGTTATTCATTTGAAAAAGTTTCACCGGGTACTTATAAATTTTGCAGTTTGCAAAAAGATTCATTCTGTGACAGATTTTTTTTTTAATGTTTGTTCATTTAAGGAGGTTCTCACTCCATGGAATTGTTGCTAAGATTTTTTTTAAAAAAAACAGAGTTTCCTGGGGGTTCTTGTAATGCAGTAATACCAATCTCAACCTCTGGATTTTCCAGGGGCTTTGCAACAGAAAAGTCATATCGCATCGTTGGTAAACAGGAGAAAAGCAAGCACTGTGAAGGACAAAATTTACCTAACCTTTGGCAGATGACCTTCTCTCCAGCGTCAATAAGGCTTTAGACATTGTTACCATAGAGTGCTTATAAGAGCATTTGGAGACGCAGTAAGTGGCCATGAAAAACATACATGTAACTCTGCCACATAAACTTGAAAGCAGAGTGTCTGCCACAAATACTGTTTTAATACTTCATATGACCATTCTAACGTCAAACAAACTTTTGACTTATCTCAGGATTTTACCCAACCCAAGGAGGGTTGCGGTGTGATCTCACTGGAAGGAAATCACACTTCTGTTTGCTTTCCTCACTCTCGACCCATTTTTACCCACAGTTCCAAAGACAGCACCCACCAACGTCCGTGGAAGAAGCGGAAGAAGGCATGAGCTGGTCATTGCCTGGGAGGTAAGAAGGCCTTGACTCACAAGTCAGAACTGGTGAAAGCACGAGGGCTAGGCATGCAGCTCCCGGTACAGAGACGACGAGGAATACACTTCCGATTGGAAGAGGTTTAGAAACACTTTTGAGCACGTTGCTGAATGCCAGAACGAACCTCTCTCATTGCGTGCTCGGCCACTGATGACTTTCCTCCAAACCCAAGGTAGTCTTTCCTGTCACAGAGGCTGTCTCGGAATAAAGTTCAGACTCACCCTCTCACGGATTACTTCAGGTGTTTGTTTGGCTTCGTTTGTCATTCAACTGCTTGACGATTCAGGAGGCCCCTGGACTTCTTTGGAGGCTAAAACCCATGGGGAGGGAGGAATCAGACACCACTGAACATGGGGCCCAGTGCCTGGGTGATCTCACTTCACTCATACAACAGTCTTATGAGTAGGGATGCTTTTCCTCATTGTACGGATCGTGAGACTGAGGCACAGGGTAAGTGTCTTCCCTGATGCACAGAAGTGGGACCCTAATTACAAAATCTGTGCCCTCTTGTCTTCCTCCTTGTATGGGTCCCAAAGTATCTTTTCTTCATTTTTAATTTTAGATTTGGGGCACTCAGGCATATTCGTTACGTAGGACATACTGTGTAGTCGTGGGCATTGGGTCTTGGGTGGTGGCCCATTCACCAGATCGTGAACTACGCCCCATCCAAAGTGTCTTTGGTCAAAGAAAACAGTGAAGGTGGCAGAGGCATGAAGAGTCCATTTATACTCCCTGAAGCCACCTTCCTTTTTGGATGTCAAATTGCCATTTGTAGTGTATCTATATAGCTCACAGAACATTGCCTTAGAATCTATAGAAATGGAAATGTCTGTTAGAGAAAACAGAGCAAATCCCTGACTGAAAGTGTACAGAAAAACCTCTCTACCCAATAAGAAATCATCCATGAGCACATCACCTGTCCTATTCTTTGTCCATTCCTCTTTTCTTCTATAAAACTTCACATCTTGTTTTTGATTTCAGGAGAGGTCTTAACTTCCCATTATCTGACCTCCACTGAGATCACTCTCTCTAAATGGACTTGCCCTTCCCTGTAAGCTTTGAAATACAGTAACGGATGCCAGGCTCGGTGGCTCAGCCTGTAATCCCGTGCTTTTGGGAGGCTGAGGTGAGTGGATTGCCTGAGCCCGCGGGTTCGAGGCCCGCCCGGGCAACTTGGCAAGACCTCATCTCTACAATAAATAAAAAAATCAGCTGGGCGTGGTTGCGTGCGCCTGTAGTTCCAGCTACTTGGAAGGCTGAGGCGGAAGGATCGCCGGTACCCAGCAGGTCGAGGCAGCGGTGGCTGGGAGCAGCCACTGCACTCCAGTCTGGGCGACAGGATGAGACTCCAACTCAAAAAAAAAAAAAGAAAGAAATACAATAACGGGCTTTGTCTCTCTTCCTCCCCTCAATACACAGTTTTTCTTCAAAGCAAAATTGAAAAGGAAAAAAATACTTCACAAATATGTACTGGGCACCTACTGTGTCAAGCACTGTGCTAGCCAGTGGCAGGTAACTTTTCTACATTGACTAACGAGTCAATCACAATTTTGTCTTTCTGTGGTGTTTAGTGGAAGCTCATTTAAGGAATTTTGATGTAAGCCATGTAGCACAAGAAGCTTCTTGAACAAGTGCCATTGTCCAGTTTTTTCACATGGCAGCAAAGCACAGAAGCAATGAAAAGGAACACTAGTAGAAAGGTCTTAAGTTAACATCTCTTAGATGTGTGATGCAAAAGGCTGTGCTGAGCATCACCAGTGATCAAATTTCCCCACCGCCAGACCATATGACAGTTTTCTTCAACATGTTAAATTCGAATGTGGAATCCAAGGACCTTCATTTCATATACATGACTAATTGGAGCAAATTTGTTTCGCTTCAAGAATTTTCAATTCTCTCGAGAGTTTTTGTACTTTCCGACGGATACGCTTTAATTTTTCATCTTTTACCCTTAAAGCTTTTTAAGTTTCCCAAAACTGCTCAAGTGACTGTGCGATGTTGGCTTCCAATGTAGCAGAAAGATCCGAGAGTCTCCTTTTCTCCAGCTATCCATAATTTTTGAAACATTAACGATTTGGAGGAAGTGTTTTTTAGTCAGTCGTTTTACTGATAACTAATTGCGTTTTTCTTCTTTAGCCAGTGTCTGAAGAGTTTCAGAATGGGGAAGGCTTTGGCTACATTGTGGCTTTCAGGCCCAATGGAACACGTGGTTGGAAGGAGAAAATGGTGACATCCTCTGAAGCTTCCAAATTCATTTATCGAGATGAAAGCGTCCCACCTCTCACTCCTTTTGAAGTGAAGGTGGGCGTTTACAACAACAAAGGAGATGGGCCTTTCAGTCAAATTGTGGTCATCTGTTCCGCGGAGGGAGGTCAGTTTCTTTATTCCTATTATTTTCATTGAACCTTTTACTATTTTATGTTGTTAGACAAATAATGAGACATTGTTGCACATGTATTCGAAAATACAAATAAACCTAACGAAAAAATAAAACTCACAAGCTCACTCAACCTTTCCGATACATTTTTCCAAATATTTTTATTAAAAAAATTTTTATTCCATATATGTTGCTGTATATTTTTCACTCCCTAACAATATATGGCAAACGTGTTTCCATTCCAATAATAGTATGAGCAATCCCCTTGAAGTCATTTGATTCTCTGGATGGACATTAACCAATCCTCTTTGGTTTGAAATTTAGATAATTTTATATTGTAACAATATATATGTAAAAAATATTTAAATGAAGTCTCAATCTATGTGAACAATAAGCATTTGCTTTCTACACCATAGGTAAAGCATTGTAATGTGAAAGTATCGGACAGGCTTTCTGTTGGAAGCTTTTCACACACGACATCATTAAATCTTATGACAATCTCATGTAATAGCCATCATTGTCTCCATTGTGTAGAAAGAGAAATGGACGTTCAGAAAATCTAAGCAACTTGCTAAAGGTTGCACAGACTGTAGTCATGAGTCAAAGCCAGGTTTGTCTAACCATTAAATCCTTCCTTTTTTAATAGTATGCTGCCTGCATATACATGACCTCATTTAGTTTTCAAGACACAACCAGTGAACAGGCAGTACTCACTAGTACCCAATAGACAATATACCTATTTGACAGATGAGTAAACTGAAAAATGTGACATGGTTCTACTTGACAGGTGACAGAGCTAAAGTATAAACTCAGCTTCCATCAAAATCCCAGCTTCTTTCAAGTTCTAATACAACAAATACAATTTTCTGAGTCAGAGAAAGTGTGATAGAGCTAACCTCTTAAAATGAGCTTTTCCTCTTAGCTCTTCTATTCCAATACAGAATCTCAACTGATCCTGCAAGTGGGGAAAAGAAAGTCTTACATTCCCTCAATTTACAAATGACTGAAAAAGTGTCCTCAGAAAGGCAGCACTCGTTTGACCTCCCCAGTAAGCATGGTCAATGTAAACTGACCCTTGTACTTCCTTGGCACCCGCTTGTGTGACTTAAACAGCTCGAGAGAATTATTCATCGTTTCAGGACTGTACACTTCATGGGGAGATACAAATAAGGTCATTTGAATACTGAAGAACAGAGGGAGTGTGTGATTTGTGTAAGATGTAACTCTTCAATAAAAAGCTGCTGCCTTGTAGTTTTATAACATAAAGTCAAATTTTGAAGCAAAACCAGAAAGCTCATCTTAGTATTAGAATAACCAGGAGAGAGAAGAATCAAGTAATGACAAGGAATTATACACATTCTGATGAGATCTCCACGCACTTAGCACCTCAGATTTTTATGTGTTTTCAGATAAAACCAGTGTCCCATACTACTCATATTAACTAATTTAATGCTTAAAACCAAATATAGGGTTGGAATCTCAAGTCCCGCTCTGCTTTTCAGGAAATTAAGTCTCAGAGAGGTTAAGCAACATGCTCAGATCCACACCAGCAAGTGACAGAGTTTCGAGAAATGACAGTGAGTCGCAGAGTTGGGATTTTCACCAGGTCTATATGACTCCAAAGCACATTCTTTAGCCATCACCCCACACTGTGTCATCAGGAATGTACACAATAATGATATTTTATATTACTTATTGATCAAAAGATCGATTTTGAGTACATGTTTCATTCCGGAAGTGCATATTCTTGTTGCTCGTAAACCGTTTCAAACTAATTATCAATCACACAGCAGCAAAGGTCACACGAAAGATGAATTAGAGAAGTTTGTTAACATGATTTTTATCATTAGCACCACTGTCGCCTTGAAGAAATCCGGCTTTGTAAGTTTCTTGTCAACCTTTGCTTCAAACTTCATTTATAGCCGCCACCATGGGTTTTTTTCATGCCGTGTTCCCTTAAACCTGAAATGGCTTACCTTTCAAGCTAGGTAGAAAATATGCATATTTCCTTCCGAAGACACTAAGGTTGTTACTGGGACATATTTTATAGTAACACTTCACTTATTTTCACAGACTGAAATAGGAAGTACACCAGGCAAATTAAATCTGGAGTCTGCCTTTGTTCTGACAACAGAATTCAAACGTATATTTGGCACTTGTTCACTAATTAAATTTACAAATCTGGAACTTCATATGTAAACACGAGGAAAGCATTGACATCATTAGAGTGCGTCAACCAAAAATGGCAGGACAAGGGAGAGGATGAAATCGGCCTGCAGCCAGCCGAGCCTGGGTTCACATCTGGGCACACGAACCAGAGGCCTGTGGGCAATCTCTTCACCTCTCTGGGGCTGAGCTTCCTCCACTTTAAAAATGAAGGACTCAGAATCGAACATCTCTGGAAGCCCTGACAAATCTAGAGTGGAAGTTCTGTCAGGGTATTCTGCATTCTAGAATATTCTTTTAAACCACTGTCCCAGAATAGATAGACACAGTGGATCAACTCTTGCTGTATAGAAAAAAGGAGAAGTGAACACCTCTTTTTAATCACTCGGCCATTCGCTTTACTCAAAAAGAAGTGAACATTTTAAAGAGTTGACCATTTTTCAAGAGAGCCAAGGCCTGTAATAAGCTCGTAAAGCAGTCTTTTGTCCTCAAGCCAGTGCAGGTTCCTCTCTTCTGCAGGTGTTCACCCAGGTTCTCGGGCTTTTGTGACGATGCTCTTGGCCAGAGCCCAGCTAATCCAACTGAGATGGTGTTTCTCCATAAGACAAACCCCATTTCCTTATTCTTCCATTAACCCACTCTCCTTGTTTACCACTTCAAAATCCCTCCTTATTCTTAGGTCCATAAAGAACAAGAGGAGGGAGCTGGCCTTTCGATTTCTGTGTATGGGCTCAGTTCTCTTTCCTCGTCTCGAGAATCCTAGCCACGTGCCTTGGGCACTGTGAAGAACCTGCTGACACCAAGCCAAGAAGAAAAATCTGTCGACTGCCACAGCCAGAATTTATGTTCTTCGGAGGGACGCACAGAACAGAAAAATGTCCAAGGCGCGTCTTGCAGTACACTGCTCTCACCTATTTCCCACCGGACCATCAATACTGGATGACATCACATCCAGGACTTGCTTGCATAAGTGTTGACGTGTATCCTCCATACCACGAGCCCAGTGGACTCAAAATGAGAATCACATTACCATACAGAAAGCCTTGAATCAGCATGTCACTAGAAGAAACCATAATGTATAAGTGTGGATGCTCGGTAAATAAATCACTTGGGATGTGAGTTTAACTCACAACTTCTGTGGCTTAACCCTGGAGGACTGACAGAAAAGTTCCAGATGATTCTTCTGCTGACACCCTTCAGTGCTTGAAACCTTTCAATGTTTCTGCAACAGAAGTAACCTTCAATGACTGTCAGAGCCAAGTGACATCTGACATGAGTCTGAAAAGAGATGTTTGCAGAAGGTGGTATTCTCCAGTCCTGTCCTTAGCCAAAACTGAGCTCAGTAGGATTTCTGTGCACTTGGAGATTAATAAATTGCCATATTAGTTGCAAAATACAAGAGATAAGTCCCTGTCTTTGCCAGTTGATCTATCTGGATCAGTGCCGGCCATGATTTTCACACAACCTGAACACGTTCCAAGTGCCTGGCCCCTTTAATCTGCATTCTGAACCCTAATTTGGCTTGAGACCTCTAGGGCATGGTATGATCCCATACAATACACTTATTTTGGAAACAATCCAGTGGGTTTTTGTTTTTTTTTTTTTTTGAAGAATGGTAAAGTTTCAACATAAATGTTTTAAAATGCATGGTACAATTGAAAAAAATGATTTTTTTCAACATAAAGCAAAACAGCTTTTATTTTTACATTTCTGGAACTACTGAATACTCAAACTTAGACCCACTTTCCACTTAGCTCTTGTTACTCTAGCTTTGGAAATGGAAAGAAGCAGGGAGTTCATTTACACTTAACAGAAAAACACAAGGCAATTTGACATGAGTTCATTATAGGTGGAAAGGTTTATTTATTTGTGATGAACTTTGTCCTTTCCTAGTTTTCTTGGTTTTTGCCTTGCATGTAAAAAATGCCCTGCTTTTATTTTTATTCAACCTAAAACTGCTCTCACCATTTGCAGAAAATGAAGCACAATTATTCTCTTGCAAGTGGAACTACCACGGCTCACATTAGAACTCAACATGCAGAAGGCGTTATTCTCCAGATCTGTCCTTAGCCAAAACTGAGCTCAGTGGGATTTATGTGAACTTGGAAATTAATAAATGGCCATATTAGTTGTAAAATACAAGAAATAATTTCCTGTCTTTGCCAGCTGATCTATTTGGATTAGTGCCTGTGAAAGTTCAACTGCAGCTGTCTTCACTGAATTTTTAAATAATGAAATGCTAGCCCTTCTCCCAAAGAGTTTATTAAACTCTCCTTTGATTAATGCTGTCGCTCACCCCTCCTGGGAAGTCAGATGTAGAATCAATATTACAAGCACACACCCCCGTGTTACTTGAAGAACTCCAGCTGCCAGATCACTTAATACAAATGTATCATCTGAATTCACGAACATGGTAATGCTGTTTAAAATTTTTAATCTAACAGAAATAAGTCTATCAATCAGCCTGTCCACTTTATATCCCGAGATTAAGTGAAGAAGTTGGCCGCGGCCTAATTAATATCACCAGAAGTAGCAGAAAAAAACACGGAGATCCATTTAAGTCTTTGGGTTTACTAGACATAATGCTAGCACAGCCTCAGAAATAAGTTCCTGAACTTTCTTTAAATTACACGACTGTAATCGACAGGAGTGAGAGCAGCAGAAAATAATCCTGTGATTTATGGATCAGGAGAGTTTTAGAGATACCTGAACATGACATGACCTAGGACAAGCTGTGCAGCTAGGGTTCAAAATTACCCAAGAACCCGTGAAACTGAAATCAAGGGAGTCGATAGTAAGCCTGTGGCTGGGTTAAACGGGTAGGGATGGGGGTACAGGGGGTTTCTGGCAAGACCTGGAAGCAGAGAGCTCAAGGGAGGTACCCAGCACCAACATTCAAGAGAGAATTACAAAGTGAAGGGGCAAGGGGAAAAGAAAGAAAAAGCATCAAGTGTGTATGATGTGGACACATGCAGAATAGCGTGGTGGTCAGGGGCTGACTACCTGAGTTCAAATCCTCCCTCCACCATTAAGCAGCCATGAGACCGTAGGCAAGTTGCTTAATCTCTCTACCCCTCAATTTCTCTAATGGCAGCAGTGATAATGGGGCTGTTGGCAGCATTCACAAATACATGTAAAGAATTAAGAACAGGACTCGGGACGAAGAATCTCAGTAAATGGTAACTATCATGGATTTGAGTCATTCCCTTATCTATTTTGCTTGTCTTTTTTTTTTTAAACTTGTTTCTAATCTTATTCTGTCCATTCCTCTGTCGGTTTTTTGGAGGTAACTGGGCAACACAAGAATGAGCTGTGTATATATTTTCCCGTAAAATATCTTTTGTGACTTAAAACTGACTCTAATGATAATGATAATGAGCCAGCCGCTGCCTTGGTGCCAATTTCAAAACAGAGGAAAGAACATTTGAGATCTGAGCTCTAGCTGGAGCTCTTTCAGATCTGGCAGCTGAGTTTGAATAAGCCAACCTTTGAACATTTTGCTTTTCTCATCTGCAAAATGAGAGCGTGGATTTAAAACACAGGTCCATGCCTCCAAAGCAAATAAGGGTGAAGTAAGAAATAAAAATAAGTGAAGTACTCCCTGTGTGAGACAATAGGGAGTAGTAGGGACTCGGGCAAACTGAGAAGCTTGTTCCCTGACTAATAGGGTTGGCTGCTAATCCTCGTCCACCAACACTCAAGAATTCAGGTTTGATGTCTTCTTTCTTCTTCCCAAGAGAAACCAGCAATTATTATTTTTGAAAGTTGCTTAAGTTAAAGTATGACTGGAAACCCACAGCCTGTGCATTTGTGACTTTTGATCCAAGAGATTTTCTAAGATCCTTTCTGGTTGTCACTTTCCATCATTCGGTTGCAATACGGAGCCTGAAAAGAACAGCCAGTCTCAATCCAAACCAGACATTCTGTGATTCTGTCAGTTACTCCTGTCTGCAAACAGATTTTTCATCCATTTGAAAACCTTTACTTGGCTACAAACAGTATACTAAAATTTCAGCAAACACCTGACTGAGATCACTTTTTCTACATGCCGGAATTTCTTTTCTTTTTTTAATTTATATTTTATTTTAAAGATGTGGGGCACAATTCAGAATTAGGTATCCAAGTGGACAACGTGCAGGTAAAATTTGGGTCTCCCTTTGGTCTCCACTCTGCCTGGTTTGAGATCAGGAACCCTAAGTGATGTTGTAGCCCTCCCATCCCCCACCCCGGCAGTATCCCGCTACTGCCAGTCCCTTTCTCATAGTATTATGGTAAATGTTCAGGGTTCGCACCAAGTCAGCGTGGGTCTACTTCCAATACCATTTAGATCTACAGGGTGAAACAAATTAAAAATGACTCTCCCGTTTCCATTGGGTTAATTCGTTCTCACTCAATTATATACAATTATAATAGCAAGCCTCCCCCAAAATGCAACTGCAAAATGTTCAGTTGGGTGTGACCCTGATTTAAACTTCTGAGGTTTTAAATCGAAATGGAGGTACTTGTTTGAGAAGTAGGGTTCTGAACATTTTTCATTTACTTTTACTTTTTTCTAAATGTTCTATTTGAGAAGTACTTAAACTTGTATACTACTACTAAAAGCTGCTGCAGAACTAATTCCTTTCTTCAGAGATAAAGAGATACAGAAAGGCTGCCACTCAGCCTCATGTTTCATGCTTCTGAAATTATTTATTCCCCCGCAATCTTTCTTTGACAAAGATGTAATTGCTTCAGTAATATAAAAAGCTGAAAGAATGCATGTGGCCCATAAATCTCTGCAAAGCATTTATTCTAGAGAGAAGCAAAACTGCTACTGAATCATCAGTGGTATTCCAAGTGCGACTTTCTTGGACATAAATCATATCCTAAATCCCAGAGATCAAGTTGATCACACCTCAGAAACATCAGCATTTTCTTTCATTGACTTGCAAAACCAAGAATTTTAACTCCTATTAAATAGTGATGGGGAAAAAATGTCTGTTGCAAGCCTGCCAATCAGAATTCTAGAACAAAATAGAAGGTTTTTCCAGAATGCATTTTTTAAAAATTGAGTAGATGAACAAATAATAAGGGATTGGAAAGAGAGGTGAGGGAAACTACTGAGCAAAAGAAAACAAGAGATATTCAAAGAGTAACAGAACAAGAAATTACAGTTCCTATCAAGATGGGAATTAATGCTAGCTTCTGTGTAAAAATTCATGTGAATTTGCCAAAGCACTTTGAGATGACACAATTATAGCATGTGATTTTAACAAAGATTTGACCAAAAGAAAATCACTGCTATGTGCAAGCATGTACCCTTGGAAAAGTCTTTTGCCATCTCTTCGTTTACAGCCACAGGGTAGGTATTTTGGGCTGATATTTTTCTGTTAAAAATATATAAAAGCACTCCAGATAAATGTATGGCCTGACTACCTCTATTAGAAAAGAAAAGAGCTCAGTAAATGGTTACAATCTCTTCAGTGTTTGCCTTTCAACTTTTTTATTTGGCATTCCATCTTTGCTCTATAGGTCCCTAAAAACAAAACGAAAACATTTCAATAGATTAGTCTGACCTCTTATCAGGGTCACGGGGTTAGTATCAAAGTCACCACCATTTGTAGGGGGGTGGGATCTATTTTAATAGACTTTGTGCAGCACTGTTTGAACCAACGTCTGGCCTTTAATCTACCATTTCGTTTAACGTGTGTTTGTGACACAGTATTTATGATTCAGCTATGTCAAAGCTAAGAAATATTTTGTTCCTCATCCTGAGCGCAAGCTCAAATGAAGTGCGCCTTTTGATGGATGCCAGTCAGCCATTGTGTATTTCGAAAAAATCGTGCAAAAGGTCACTGAGCGTAGAAACAAATGGAAAGGTGGTTCTGAGTAGCAGGCGCCGAGACCTTCAGGGACTTTCCTGTTCCACCCGCACCTGTCGTAAAAGTCAATGCATGCCTTTTAAATATCATCACTCATAACGTGTTCCTTACATAATCATGGAAATGTAGTTTGGCGGTTGGAGCAACAAAAAAATATCTCATGTAATCTGACTTTATTTGTGCCTTCGCAGGATGAAATGCATAAGTAAATAATAATAATGCGATATTTTGTGAATGAATATTTTAAATGCCAAGCACAGTACTAAATATTTTATATGTGTTATCCTAATTAAAACTAACTGTCAAAATCTAGGAGATAAAGACTTTCATTAGGCTCAAATTACAGATGAAGGAACTAGGGCTTAGAAAGAGATCAAATAACTTTACCTGAAGGTAAATAAGTAGATTTCTTTTTTAAATTTTAAGGCAAAAAGCAGAGACAGCAACAAAACAAATAAAAGCTAAACCTGACTCCTTAGTTCATGTGCTTTGTCTTTATGCTTGACTGGCAAATGATGTGAGTTAGCCGATTTAAGTTCTCCAGAAACGCCCTGGCTAATCCAAAGATAAAGACCTTTGCTTGTCTTGTGGATTTGTCATTTGTCACTGGTAGAGTCTTGGCGAGACTTGGCCCCAGCATAGAAAAGATCATCTTTTCATCGTGTTGTGTTTTTCGTCACTGCCACAGGGTTTCATTTCAGAAATAAGGGAGCTGGACGTTAACACCTGACAGACCCAGGTGCGGGGCTTCGATAGACATCACTTGTTATAATCGCGACATGTTATTTCCATTTTCCTCCATACAGAACCCAGTGTCGCTCCCACGGATGTCAAGGCGACAAGTGTGTCTGTGTCAGAGATTCTTGTTGCATGGAAACACACTAAAGAGAGTCTGGGAAGACCACAGGGATTTGAGGTATGAACAGAATTATTGAAAATAAGCCTTATTATGCCTGCTGGCACTACATTCTACTAAAGAGATGTCTTGGTGACACTTCAACAGAATTATGTTTCTTTGAAACGCTGCTCTATGTTTTAAAAAAACTTAAGAAATGCTATTTTACTGACATGTATTATGTTGCTCATTACTGGCTTATTTTTCAGTATGGTAGTTTCCATAGCACTACGCAACGTTTTAAAAAGAGATGAGAACAAGGTTTTAAATCAAATCAGGAAACACGGGTGGGTGTTTAGTGGTGTCCAACTTATTTATGGTTAAAAAATTTTTGTGTCCTTCTTTCTAATAATTTAATGTACAAATACAAGGTTTTCTTTTATGCTTTCTTGGCAGCTGTTACCTCTGGTACTGAATTCTCAAATGCTTGAAATTTAATGGTCCATACTGTATCTACTTATTCAGATGACTTGTTGTCCCCTAGATTTCACTATTTTTACACACAGTTATGCCCACCTGCTAATGGCGAATACTTCATGTAAATTCAATAATTTCAATGAAATTTCAGCCTCCACAGGAAACAGAATTATGGGTAGTCAGTCTATAAACATGAATATTATATTCCATGATAACAAGATCCCTGCTTCTCACACGTCTCTTGTTCTCATTCTTGTCAGATAGAAATTAGGGGGATAATTTCTAGAAGACAAAAGAGATTTAGCACTGACCCAAGACCTTAGGTGCATTTAAAAATTTTAATTCTTGCTTTTCCTCTGCTTCAACTCCCAATGAGAAAATATCATCTTGTTTTTTGGACAATGGTCAAGTGATAGGAAAATTGTACACTCCCATGGTTTCCAGGCTGAAACATATCTTTATTCTATTTGAGTTTTCAAATAATGCCTGATAACTATTTGGTTAACATACAACTATCATTAGATATTGATTGCTATGATAAGGAATTCATACAATCTTTGAAGAGTTACAGTAAGAGCCATTTACAGGAAACCATCACCCACTTAAACAATATCATGAACTTATTTCTACAATCATGCTTCAGTTCATTATTTGGAGTGATAATTTCGAATATATCTTATTATAATTGCATGTTTATTTGATGACTATTTGTTTCTCCCTATCCATGCTTCAGGGTCACTTCTGTTCATCACCAAATCTCAGCAACTGGTAGTATGTGCTTGTTCCATGATAGGCCACAATGTGTATTGGTTGAATGAATGAACGTCTGTGCCTTGCAACCAGCCCTTTTTTAATGCAACTGTAGAACAGAATATATTGTGGTGGTCTGTCCAGCTCCCCTCCTCTGGGCCAGCATGCCAGCCCCCAGCTGCTGTGAGTGTGGACCACTCATGGGGCTCATCTTCCCCTGTGGAGAATTGCTCTCCTCTGAGAGGAGCTTCATTGCTTGGAAAGGGACCTTCCTCACTGTAGCAAGGCAGCCCAAGACCGACGACTGACTGACCTTGAACCCTTGACTCAAGGAAGCAACTTTACGGTGCAGTTGACAGTCCAGAGAGCTTGCTGCGTGCATCAGGCTAAGTCCAAATTACCTGAAAGCCCTTTCTTGTTCTGCTCTCTCTCCTTCTCCATCTGTGCTTCTCCTTTTTTAGACGAAATTTCATCCAAAAGCATCCTCAGAATACATCACATGCACCCAAATCCGCATCTCAAGGTCTGCTCGTGAGGACCCCAGCCTAAGAGGACTAAGTAGGTGTGAATCCACTCTAAGCCTCTGAATCAGCACATCAGGGGGCCGGGACCTGGGCTGCAAACTTTCAGAAAGCCACAAAGTGTATTCTGGTGCCAGAAGGTGGGAATCTAAGCTCCTACTTCTCCAAGTGATGCTTCCTTCGCACAGTCACCCTCAAGCTACTCTTTTCTTAGCCTGCCCTAATAGCGTGACATTCACACACCCACCAAGATTCACTGTGCCGACATCTCTCTGTGAGGTCCTGAAGTGATCACAGAGGATTTAGATTTGTATCCAGTTCTTCTCTTCCCAAATATACACCATTCATTCAACAAGTATTTTTGAAGCCCTGCTGAGTACTAGCCACTGAGCTAAATGCACGGTAGGGCAAAAGCAATAAGCAAACCAAAATCCCTGTGCTTATGAAGTTTCTATCGCAGTAGGGAAGGCTCACAACCAACAAGCTACGAAATAAATGTGGGATGGAATTTCAGTTGATGATGCTTGCTGTGTAGAAAAAATAAAACAGGGCAAGAAGGCAGAGAATGTGAGAGTCTGATCTGTGAAATGTGCCTTTTCTGAGGTTGGGACATGTGAGTGGAGACATGACTGAAGGAGAGAATGGTACAGAGACAAGCAAGCCCAAAGGCCCTCAAGTAGGAGCATGTTGGACTTCAAACAGCAGGAAGGAGGCCAGGTGCTGTGGCTCACGCCTGTAATTCCAGCATGTTGGGAGGCCAAGGTGAGAGGATTGCCTGAGCCCATGGGTTCGAGACCAACCTGGACAACTTGGCAAGACCTCTACAATAAATAAAAAAAAATTAGTCTGGCATGGTAGCACATGCCTGTAGTTCTGGTTACTTGGATGACTGAGGCGGAAGGATCACAAGTATCTAGCAGGTCGATGCTGGGGTGGCCATGAGTGTGCCACAGCACCCAAGCCTGGGCGACAGAGTGAGACTCCAACTCAAAAACTAAAATAAAAAAAAATAATGTAGACGTTGTCCAGGTGGGGTGGCTCACGCCTATAATACTAGCACTTTGGGAGATGGAGCCAAGAGGACTGTCTGAGTCCAGGAGTTCAACACCAGTCTGCGCAATTTGGCGAGACCTTGTCTCTACGATCAATCAAAAGATTAGCTGGGCATGGTGGTATGTGCCTGTAGATCCAGCTACTCGGGAGGCTGAGGTGGAAGGATCGCCTGAGCCCAGCAGGTTGAGGCTGCAGTAGCCATGATCGTACCACTGCACTTCAGCCTGGGTGACAGAGTGAGAATCTGACTCACAAACAAACAAACAAACAAAAACAACAACAAAAAACCCAGAACAGTAAGGGAGTGGCTTCGGTGCAGTGGCAGGGGCACAGGAGGATAGTAACAGGATGACAGAGATATCACCAGGGCAAGGACAAGGTTATATGGGATCTTGGGAACCACAGAAAGAAGTTTAGATTAATCTAAGTAGAAGGAAAAGTCTTTAAAGTACGTTTTTACTTATAATAAATTGTGTATGTATTCTTTTTTTTTATATTTTAGATGCAAGGGTACACATGCACGTACATTATGTGGACATATTGTGTAGTAGTGGGGGTTGGGTTTCAGGTGGCCCGTTTCCCAGATAATGAACATTGCGCCCTGTAGGTAGTTTCTGAACCCTAGCCTCCCTCCCCCCTACCCTCTTAATGGTGTCCCCAATGTCTATTCTCTCCATCCTTGTGACCATTCACCTCCCACATATGAGCGAGAACACGTGGTGTTTGGTTTTCTGTTTCTGAGTCAGTTCACTGAGGTTGATGACCTCCATTCGTGTTGCTGCAAAAAATATGATTTCATTCTTTCTATGGCTGTATGGCTGTGTAGTATTCCATGGTGTATATATACCACATTTTCTCTATCTAGTCATTTACTGGTGAGCACCCAGGTTGGTTTCATGATCTTGCTATTTTTGAGTAGTGCTGCAATCAGCATATGGGTACAGGTATCGTTTTTCTAGATTGATTTATTTTCCTTTGTGTCGATTCCTAGTAGTGGGATTGCTGGATCAAAAGCTAATTCAATTTTTGGTTGTTTGAGAAATCTCCGGACTGTTTTTCATAGATCCTACCCAAAGTGGGTGAGTGTTCCCTTTTGTCTACAACCGTGCCAACATCTGCTGCTCTGTGACTTTCCAATAGTTGCCATTATGATAGGTATGAGGTGAGATCTCATAGTGGTTTTAATTTGCATTTCTTTGATGATTCTTGGTGTTGAGCATTTTTTCGTGTGTTTGTTGGCTGCTTGTGTATCTTCTTTTGAGAAGTGTCTATTCATGTCAAACAACTCAACATGAGAATAGCCACATCAAAAAGTAGGTAGAAGTTTTAATAGAGAGTCAAGTCAAGATCTGATATTTAAAAGCCTCTCTTGGTCTAGGGGGCAGAGGATAGATTCAAGGGAGGACCACAGAGAGAATAGCAGAGAGGCCATTTTTCCAACATCAGTGACAAGGAGGTTGCTTTCACCTGGAGTAGTAGCAGTGGCGCTGATGAAAGAGATAGCAGTGGAGTTGATAAGCAAAAACAGTCTTTGAATGGAGGTATGACAGGTTTGGAGAATGAATTGGATATCGGTTATAGAAAGAGAGAAGCCAAAGATAATTCTAGAGCTTTTTGACCCCAAAACTGGGCAAATAGCATTGACATTCACGAAGATGAGGAACTCAGAAAAAAAGAGTGGATTTTAGAGTGGAAAATCAAGGATTTTGTTTTGGATGTGTTGAATTTTCATTTCTAAAAATAATTTCCAAGTAGACCTCAAGAGAATGACGGGGATGGGACTATGCCTATGGGAAATCGTCAGTTCATAGAAGTTTTTATGCATATACCATATCAATGTATATTGATAAAGAAGATATCTGAGAATTGAGCTCTGTGGTGCCCCACACTTGGAGCTCAAGAAAGGAGAGGGTCTGGTCAAAGAAACTAAGAGGGCCTCACTGAAAAAATCCAGAAGCCAAGAGCACGGAAAGGTGGAGATGACATTCCACGGAGTCAAATGCTGCCAAGAGGTTCCGAAAGATGCAACCCAAGATTGCCCGATGGATACAGCAGTGTAGACACCCCAGTATCCCTGATGACAGGGGTTTTACGAAATGCTGGCAATCAAGGCTTGACTAGAGGTGAAGATCAAGGTTACTCAAGAGTGACACTCAAGGCTGTTGGAGCACAGTGTTTTTACTAAGTCTATTTTACGCAAAATGACAACTTGCTGCGAGCAAAAATAGAATATGTTTAAGGATAGAAAGCTAATTGGAGCAAGTCAAATTCGGGAACAAT